CAAGTCAAAATTCTACTAGCTCAGTGGTCTATATATATATTTTACTATGCATAAGAAAGTCTTTATCGGATAAGTTTTAACACAGCTATCTTCCTTTTCAATGAGCCAAATAATTATTAACTAAAAAACTAAGGGTTGCCGCTGAAGGAAAAAAAAGCCCCTCAAAGATTATAATTCCAGAAAATCAATAAGGATTCTTTATCTGTATTATTATGTTTATCAAACCAAAAAAGACAACACAACCTCTATTGGCATTTATATTAAATGCCAAGCCCAAAAAAGAAATGACATGAAGAGGAACTAGGTCAATTTTCAGAAGTTGCAGAGTTAGCTATATACCATATATGTTCATGTATGAATAAGCAAACATCTAGCTTTAAATGATCAAGTACAATAATGTGGCACAAGGTGGCTTTGTCCGAAAAGAGAGCTTCTAATAATTTCCTTTGAGCATTAACCAAGTTATCCTTTAAAGAAAGAGTCTGTAAACCGCCTACATCCTGTTTATAGTAGAAACACTGACCAAATCCGTGCTGGACTCTGGCCCCAAATCATTAAAAAAACACCCAGACCGCAAAAAAAGAGTCGTGAATGGAATCAATCATTAAAAGCTTTGCCAATGATTAGGTCTTAAAAGATCATCTAATTACTTTTTTTTATAAATACCTTCTTCTATTTTACCCCTCTTACGAAAGAGAGTTTTTTTAGCAGTGTTCTAAAAAAGAAAGAGATCTCAAAACCAAAAATTTACACATATCCTATCTTCTATCTCTGAAAAGCTTTGAACCTCAATCATTTTTTATAGCAAAGAAGTATTATTAGGAATAGAATGAAAAGAATACAGTTGTCAAGAATAATATATCCTCCTCAAAATGTCAAAAGAGAAACGGAGTCGAAATGAAAAAGATAACATGAAAACTCAGAATCTTCTCCTAAGAAGCTAATGGGTGCTTCTACAATCTTCATGGAAAAAGATTGAAGAAGTTTGTGTAAGGGTAATAGAACTTCTAAAATAGTGCGGAGAAGCAAAAAATTAACAAGGTTCGCAGGTTATAAGGACCAACAAGTTCTAAAGTTTATGTACTACCAAACATAAAAACAAAAGGAATACTCATTGAAAAGAAGTGCATGATTTTTTCATCACAAATTATGAAAATTTTAAGTTACGAAGATACTTCTCATGTTATTCTAGTTCCACCAAAGCATCCATCCAAGAAATTCAACCAAAAAGGAAAAAGAATTGGACATGTTAGCTTCACGATTATCTGGAAGTCTAAAAGAATTAAAAATGGAAGAGAGTTGACAACCGAAGACAACTCCTTTCAAAAGAACATAAATATATCATACGTTATTCGACCTCAGTTTAAGCAAGCACAACATAGCAGAACCTTAATAGCCCGCGAGAAACTTTCCGACCTGTCATTCACATACCATCAAGGGCATGCAACTTCGAGATTTAATGATTGAAGTATATACAAATGCATTAACTGTTCCTCTAAAGACACCACTCTTCCCAACAGGGGAAAAAGGAAGAAAAAGCACCCTTTATCTACATCATCTTTTAAGAAGAAAAGCTGTAATATTATTTTCAAATGCATCATTCCATCTACAATCTTGAAATAATAAAAATACAGAACGCTATTAAGTGTTGGCACAGACGACGATGATAATATCAACGCCAGTGGCAGATATCCAAATGATCTCCAAGCAATGTTCCTAATTTTCTCGTCTTTCACGACCAACATTACCGTAAGTGATGGTTACAAGCACGGCTTCCTGATCGATCCAAGGTCTATACATTCTGAGGCATACTACTATTTGGAAGAAAGTGATAGAATTTGTTAAATAAAACCAAAAGGGCAAGCAAACACAAAATATAAGCACAGTAAGAAAACTATAATATTTTTGGTGGATCAAAATACACCATATTTGGGATAGCTCAAGCCAAAATTCCGCATTTCAGATGCAAAAAATTGATATCCAAAGAAAATTTCCGAAAAATGATTGAGTGCATCATTAGGCATAAAAGACAACCACAAAATTGAAGACTGCTCAAATAGAAGCACAGATAATTTGTTAATCTTGATCCATAAAGTCATAAATAAATATTGATCCACCAGACATGATCTACACCTGCCCCTTCTTTCTCCACGTGAACTCTAAACATTCAGCTAAGCAATATGAATTATTAAAAATTAAAAGCAATTAAAATCTTACCTAGAATGATTTGACTTTCCATTCTTACCCTTAAAAAATTAAAAAGAAGAGAAGTTCAAGTTTTTAAATCAGCCAAGAATTTGAAAAGAGTATACAAGCAACCTTTATAATTAAAATATTCTAAGACTTGATAATGTCTTTTACATAAAAATTAAATAGTACCAGCATATCTGCAATAAATAATAAGTGTATTCAATTTAGAATGTTAAATTTCGGCATAAATGAATATTTACTAAAAGTCTTGAGGCTAATTTGAAATAGTCTTAAGGATGAATTACTAAGATCACTATGGTATCAGTTTTATAGTGTTCTCGGGCTAGATGTCAAAGCTGTCACGTGTCAGAAATGTTGCCCTCCAGAAACCAAAATATTCATTACAAACTGGGATGGAAGATGATCTAAGTTCAGCATGCAACAGGAACATAATTAACCCTAAAACATAATTATGTCTAATTAATACTGAATCTAGTAAAAGATTATTCTATTACCAAATTAACCCTAAAACATAATTTAACATTAAAATTGTTTTCCTTTGGCTATTTGCTCCCGCATCAGTTTGGACAGTAAGAAATAGGAAATTTATTTCAGGGCATTAGCTCTCCTCTCGATAGAATTAGGGACCATTGATTCCAAACCTTAAATATTTTCTTGAAGGTTATCTGCTCAGTGATGACATGGATCTTGGAAACCTCCTTGATAATTGGTATTTGGTTGACTTGTGAATCCTTTTCTATATTGGTGATATCTCCTCGGTAACTTAGTTATAAAAACTCTTTTATTTCAAAAGATTATTAAAACAAAAAAAATATATAAAAAATTTTAGAAGACAAACAATAGCTTTTTAGTATTTTCAAAATTATGTCCTATTTTTTTAGTTTCACTTTCTAACTACATATGTTTTTTCATTTTCAACTACTGTGTTCTTGAGAAGTTGAGAAGACAGAAATTTTGGTGCTTTCTGAAATAAGTTAACAGAAGCTTGCAATAAAGATCCTCTTTTCCCAGCTGGTTTTCTGTAGCAAACTTAATCTTACATGAAAATTAGCTCACAGTATGATAATATTACAGTCACCAGAAAACATTAGTGCATTTATAACTGAGGCCTCAAACAGTAGGTTATGATACCAAAAAGCAATGTTAATATGAAAAACTAATAGTATCAAGATCTAGAATTGATCGCATTAAATCAGAACACAGAGGTAAATTTGTTAAGCAACTAAGACAAATCTCAGAAAAAAGAAAAGAAAAATAAAGAAGAAGAAGAAACCAGAGACTCAACTATCAAACACGAAGTACCAAAAAAAGAAACCAAACTAGAGAAATTAGTTAACTTACGGGGCCATCCAACGGTAAGTCCCTGTTTCAGGTGTCATCCCCTCAGTTTGCACCTCGATTCGTGCAACACCAAAATCTGCAATTTTGATGGATTTATCGGCAGATATCAAAAGATTGTCTGACTTTAAATCCCGGTGAATAAAGCCAAGTCCATGCACATATGCCATCCCCCTTGCAACATCCAATGCCTGCTTAACTGCCAATTTTAATGGCACAGCTCGGTTCTGCCTTCTTGCCAAAAACTGCCGAACTGAACCCCCCTTGGCATATTCAGTCACAATGCACCAAACCATAGGCTTACGGCACGCCCCAATGAACCGCACAATGTTTGCATGTTTCAATGTTGCAAGCATTGTTACCTCCTGCTGAAACTGCTGCTCCATCACTTGTGCCTTCTCGGGGCTATTCTCAGGTCTTTCTAATATCTTAATTGCAACATCCTCCCCATTATATGTCCCTCTATATAATTTACCAAAGGCTCCTTGAGCAAAAGCCACGCCCATATTAAGTTTCCTCAAATCAATGGTCCACTCATCATAATTTGCCAACCCCTCAGTTGGAAACCTATCATCCATTAGGGCTTGCAGTAACGCATCATCATTAAGTTCATGGGTAACTTTACCTGGACGAAGTACACTTTGTCCAACAGAGAGAGAGTAATTGTTGCGCACAGGCTTTAGGCCAGGGTGGCTCAAAATGTGGGTTAGGGAATCATTGGATCCTACACTACTATTATCCACAGACATTGAGACAGAACCTCCGGCATTACTTGTCTGTAAGCTGTCAACGGACATGTTTGTGCCTTCCCCAAGCTTTTGGTAAAATCCTTGAGTGAAATCATAGTAATTGTTAACATTGTTGTTATTTCCCCCAATAAGTCCAGTAAACTTTGGTCCCTCAACCATTTTTCCAATCATGTATCAAACCGCTTAAATTAAATGCAAGATACACAATTCTTTTCAACCCAATCTCCTGTTGTTCATTTGATAGAGTAGTTTATCTGCATTTCGCCCAAGAACCAAGAGTATGCGTAAGATATAATCAGAGACAATAAAAAAAACCATAAACGGAAAGTTCCTACATAAATAACTTATTTGTTTATTTTATTTTCTGGAAATGTGGTTAATTATAAACCTAAGACCTATCCAAAATGAATTTTTTTACCATGAGAACATCTGATGGAAAAACTTCAAAATTCTAAGATTTTGGAACAAACCACTTCATTTTAGATTGCTGCAATCTAAATAGTAATTCCTCATATCATTGATAAAATACTTTCAAGCCCTTAACAGAAAACTCAGATTTTGGTCTTCAAAGTAAAATTTCCTGTGGTCATGGACCAGATTTTATCGGCAAGAATTTGGAAAAACAAAGCCCAGAAAGAATTGATGAATAATTTAACAAAAAAGTCCCAAATTGATCACCTTACGCATCTAATCAAGTAGGATGCCAAGACATTGGCCATGTGATTCATCTAGGTTTACATGGTAAAAAAATTCCATGACAAAGATCCAACCATATGGTCATAATTGGTCCATGTACATGAGCTCCTCATAAATTAGTTGGTAAGTACTGATGGAGAGCTTAAGAAAGACAGAGGGCCTCATGGAGACGAAGAGGAAATACTAGTTGTTAAAGATGGTGTTCACCATACCAGTCTCCGATGGGAATGCAGCCAAAATGGTTAGTCATCAGATGAATGGTGGCAGTTGAGAAAAGAAGGCCAAGTGCAACAAGAAAATGGAGGTTAGATGCGAAAAGGTTAATCATCAGATGAAGG